TCAGGGTCCATTGCAGAAGCGGCGGCAGGGGGGATTGTAAAAGCCAGCGAGGAGGTGCATGACCATACAGAAATAGTCCTACAGGATCCTGGGACCCTTCTCATACAAACCTACAGCAATGGTGTCAGCATGCACAAGACCCATGCAAACTCAGGCAGACAAAAACCCAGCACAGTACTGTGGAAATGAACAGCAAGTCCCAACTGTAGTTTAGGAAGTATTGGCAGCTGATTACTGCTGGGTGAAGAAGGGCTGATCTTCTTTAAGGGAGAGACTCTAGACAGGCTGACTAAACCCTGGTAGATGAACTTGCACAGAGGGACATCTCAGGACACTAACTTTACACAATAGGCCTTAATACAAATGACGGAATGCATGGATTCCCATGGTGTGGGGTGGGGGGGTTATGGGAGGGTGCCAAAGGGGAAGGGGGAAAGGGATATAAAGATGATTTTATGTATGAAATACACAAAAATTTAATAAGCATTTATTTTAAAGAGCTATAGTATGTGGAAGAAAATTAAAACCACACCCCAAAATATTGAAACTGTGGGTCGGAGGTATAATTCAGCCATTCCCCCCAAATCCCTACTCTCATATATTTTCCAGTACATTTATGTTCTTTACCTGAAAAATTAATATCAGGAGTTTTAAAAAGATACAGGAGCTGGAATTAAAGGGGACAATTTTAATATTGCATGGGTAAATCACCAAAGGACTATAGCAGTCATAAATCTAAGATTTCAGGTGAAAAAGATTTAAGTAGAGATTTTTAAAAAGATTCATCGTTAAAAGATGCATTAAAAGGTGGCCACTCTTTGTGCTTTAGGTTTGGAAAAGGGAATCAACAAGCATGCATGACTCATGAACACATAAGTAACTGAGTCACCCAGAAGAGGGTACAACTGTGGAGAGCAACTAGAGATTCTCTAAGAGTGGCAAAAGAGCTTTGATCTCCGGAGAAGCTGCGTGGTAGAAGCACTGACTGGAATCAAGTCTGTGCAAGCTAAGCTAGAGTTCCTGGGGCAACACAATAGAGCCCACTAGAATGAAACCAGAGGCAACTGAGAGACCAAGCCTCCGTGGAACCTGCAAACAGCAGCTGGAGGCATTTTCCAGAAACAGGGGAAATGGGAATAAAGGCTTATGTAATTGTTCAACAGTGTGGCACAGATTATTAAATCTAAGTGCTTAATCTGCAAAAGAGTGTAGTATTAAGATGACTACACTGATTACTATGAAGTGTATGACATGTCTGAATGGGTTTGACAGGAAAAAAAGATTGTGCTCTGTAATTTAGAAATCTAAAGCTGGTTATTTCTTCTAGGAACATGCATTTTATTCAATTAGTTTTCTCCATTAGTTATAGACAATGTGTAAAAAACATTCACTACACCAACAAAAAAAAAGATAACACTTGAAACCCCCAAATAAAACTGGATTTGTTTCAAATCTAATCGTCCATAGCATTTCTTGGTATCTGTCAAAACTCATAACTCCGGAGATGAATTACCAAATGAGAAGCAATTTTATACTCAAAACCTAAATTTCTATTCTTAATTTGTTTCCAAACTATTTATTATCAGGCAACATTTACAAGCATGCATGTGGGTTTCTTTTTAGTCATTGGGAAAGGAGCCATTGCATAAATAGTTCCTCTATTTGGAACTTGGTAGAGATTCCCTAGAAAGTGCATACGCATAGTGCTAGAGGAATTTGTCTTTCCTTCATAAGAACATTGACTATTTAAAGAAGTAAAATAAAAACTATCTAGTTCCCAGTCCCGTGAGTTATATCATCTCCCCTGTGAGAGCTTTGAGAAGGTCCGACATACCAGGTGCTATGTGCTACTGCTTTTCCTCCTATCCTCACTTAACAGAGAGTTCACTGCCAATCCCAGAGTCCATCTCAGGTGAAAACTCACGTGGGCAAAGTCAGTCTCTCCTCTCTCTCTCTCTCTCTCTCTCTCTCTCTCTCTCTC